GGTCCTTTCCTGGGATTTCTCCCGGGGGCGACATGGAACTTTTTGACCATGGGAAATTTTTTGGACATGGCAATTCAGAGAGAGAGAGAGAGAGAGAGAGAGAGAGAGAGAGAGAGAGAGAGAGAGAGAGAGAGAGAGAGAGAGAGAGAGAGAGAGAGAGAGAGAGAGAGAGAGAGAGAGAGAGAGAGAGATTTCCTACGGGGAATTTTCCGGCGACATCGGATTGGATTTCCCGGCGATAGTTGTCGTTTTGTTATGTTTGTCGGAGCATTTTGTAATGTTTTTAAGTCTGGTTTGTAATTTTGTATCATTTATTATTACAGTTTGTATTGTTTGTATGTTTTTCCATTTTGTACGTTTTGTAATGTTTGTCTGTCTAGTTTGTATAGTTCGTATGTTTCGGATTGTTTGTAAATCTGTTTGTATGTTTTATCGCCCTAGTTTGTATTGTTTGTATGGTTTGTACTGTTTGTAAGTCCGATTTGTATACTTCGTAATTTTCCATAATACCCAAAGTACCCCTGTCATTAATTAAATAGCTCTTCCCACTTTTTAACCGTCCGATTGGTGTGTCCAGATCTAAGAGTTGGGAGGGGTTTAGTCAAGTGACTAAGCACCCCCTCCCCCTTAGTCGCAGGATCCGGACCCCTCCACGGATTTGATGGAGATCAAAGGAGCGGTTGGCCAGGTCTGGGATATGCAGTTGATCCTTGACAACAACCTATAGAAGGTCAACCCCACGACGAGGGCGACAAGGCGGTTTCTCAGGCAGAGATCAGGGGACTCCACGAGGATTTTCAGACGTTCCAGAGGATGAAGATGGAGTTGCTGCAGACGAGGAAGGAGCCGCCGACGGAGGAGATGGGATCAACGGGGGTGAGAAAGCTGGCGGGACCGAGCCAGTGTTGGTGGCGGCGAAAGAGGCGTCGCCGAGCGATTTTGGCGGGAAGGAGGCCGACCCGGGCTTGGTGACAGGAGACATGCATGATGGTGGGCCTAGGACAGGGGGCGGGCTACGATGGGTCAAGGTTGTTACCCACCCTATCGGCCCAAGAGTTGGCGGCTAGGCGGGGAAAGACCAAGATGGACTGGTACGATAACGTGATCTGCAACGAGTCATTTGAACTGGATATGGAGGGTGCGGAGCATGGGCGAGGAGTGGACCAACATGGATGGGGCAGGTTAACGAAGCAGGATTGTGGGCAGCAACAGTTCACCAGGGCACGAGTTTGGGCCGACGATGTAGAGGAGCTACTGTCCGACGGGGGTACTAGTTAGGTCAGGTCGGGCTAGACCGGATCCAAAGTGAGTCGGGTCTAGCCGGGCCTACCTGAACCCGGTCGAACTAGGTAGCTGGTCCACCACGGCAGGAGGCGACGACGGAAGTGGGTCTCGCGGAGGGTACCCTCCTTTTGTGACTCCCAACCGGTGGAGCATTCCTACGGACGCGAGAGTGCAAGAGTTCAAAGCTTCTAGTCTCATCAGGGAGGCTATGGTCGCAGTCTGGTGGTGAGAGAGGAAGCATGGGTCCCGAATCAGAGGCACCCCGTTACATCGATCCACGCACAAGCTGCGAGGGCATTGGAAGGTATGGTGGTTATGGTCATAATTATGAGGGTGATAATGAGCTGGTCTTTAGGGCCAAACCCCCAGTCGTTGAGTTTCCTAAATTCAATGGCCGGGAGGATGCTGGCTTATGGTTGTATGCAGCCGATCGATGCTTCAAGAACCACCTTGTTCCGGAGGAGAGGAAGGCGCAGCTGGCATCGTTCTATTTGGAGGGAGATGCGATGCAGTGGTGGGAATGGATGGAACAATCATATGCGGAGGCGGAGATCCCGATTACGTGGCCTCATTTGTAGGAGGAGCTACGTTATCAGTTCGGGCGCTCGGAGGGTCGGGCTCCCGAGCAGCTGGTAAAGCTGAGATAGACCGGGACTGTGGCCGACTACCTAGCAGAGTTCCTCAAGCTGGGAAACATGTGCAAGGAGTGCTAGAAGAGACATTGGTGGACATGTGTATGGAGGGCCTGCAACCTGAGATCGCAACGGCAGTGAAGGTATTTGAGTCTAACTTCTTGAGGACTGCCTTTCGCGTTGCAGAGCGAAAGGAGGAAGAGATTGCTAGCTGGCAGAGTACAGTATGACGCTTCCAGAAGGCCAGTGGAGGAGCTAGTGGAAGTGCAGCTGGTGGAGCTAGAGGTGGAGTGGGTCATGTTCCCGGGTAGGGGCCACAGCAGCGCCAGGAGTGACTCGACCGGGACCTCGAGCGATTCTGAAATGGTTCATCAAGTTATCTCCTGCATAGATTGACCAGAAGAGGCGGGAAGGGAAGTGCTTCAATTACGATGAGTGGTTCACCTTTGGTCATCAGTGTGCTAAAGCGGAACTGACAATGCTGGTGGGGCACTGGGAGAACAAGGAGTAGAAGGATGAGTAGGCGTAACCTTGAGGGCAAGGTTGTTTCGAAGTGGGAAGGGATGATAGAAACATAATTATTCGCTTGTTTTGTTATTTGGGTTAATTAACGTTTACTCATGTTTTGAGACGTTTAGGGATTATTTTGGGGGGGGGGGGGTTTGGGACTAATTATGAAGTATTTCGTTAAGTCGTATTAGTTGAGTTGGAAAAGGTTATTTGTAGGATCATTCATTAAGCACTTACAGAACAAATATTCAGCAACCCCTAATCTTCCTACCTTCCTCTCCCTCTTTGTCGTGTCCTCTCTCTCTTTAGATTGCTGTCGCCGACTCGCATCATCATTTCCCTCCCTCTTCCTTCTAAATCAACCCCAACTTTCATTCTTTGGTCTAAATGGGAGATCAAGCCGTTATTGATCCCCAAGTTCTCTATCCCTAGACAGAGCCAATTCTGTGATTCTATCACATCTCTACCAAAAATCAGACTAGAGGAGCCACAAATTGAAAAGAGCATCATAAGAAGTTCAGGGCCTTGAAAGAAAACTTTTGCAACAAAACAGTGTTCCCCCATTTCAAGAACTTAAGGGGTCGTTTGGTTTTGTTGATACTTAAATCAGTGCATTGTAATATACATGTAATTTAGGAAAATAATGCAATGTACTTTGTTTGGTTTTGGTGATAATTCTTTTAGGAGTCGTTTGGTAGATGCGTATCTAAATGATGTATTTAATGAATGCATGTATTATAGAGAATGCATCTTTTTTTGTTGCAAAATAAAACACAATGCATGTATTTGATTGTTGATGTGACATTTGAAATCATTCAAAATGAATGATTTAGAATCTCAAGTATTTTGTGAGATTGTTGAGATTGTTTTTTAGAGTATGAATCAACTTTTCTTCTCTTTTATGCCCTTATCAACTTTTATATATGATTGACTTTTATATCTAAAAGGAAGGATAAATGTGGCTTTTCATTCAAAAAGTGGTTTTCCAACTACATTCCTGAAAATACAATCACAACTACCAAACATTGTGGCTTTTCATTCAAAAAGTGGTTTTCCAAGCATTTAACCAATACATCAATTTATAATGCTTGCATTCATACAATACACCAATTTTAACAATCGCAAATACCAAAGCTCGTATTCAACATGTTATATTACTTTTTGTGAGAAAGATCACTTTTGCCATTGCTTTTATGAGCACATATAAATATAACTAGGGGGTATGATTGGAACAAAAAGGAATCCAACAATCTCTTTAAAACTATCTCAACAATCTTAAGTTTAAGTAGAGATATTAGGGTTAAAGACACATTTGGTCACTGGGTTTACTAAAATGTGTCATGTTTAGTCACTGTAAAAAACAAATATCAAATTTGGTCACTCGAATTAATAAAACAGTCCATATTTAGTCACTCTCCGTTAACTTTGCAGTCAACCCTAACAGTTGACTGTTAAATGTCTGACGTATAGTGATTAAAAAATTAATAAAAAATTAATTTAATTTTTTTAATATTTCCACATCATTAAAATAATAAAATAAATAAATAAAAGCAAATTAAATCTTTTCTCCTCTCCACAACCGCCCCAGCGTCTTCTTTTTCAACCTCCCCCACAGCCGCTGCCGCCGGCAAAACTCCGGCGTCCGTCGGTGAATACCAAATCTACGAAGAAGATATGTTTCCAACTTGCTCTTCAACCGTTCAATCAACCTGGAAAGGGGCTGTCCACTCTCCATTATCAGCAGGGCCACCATTCCATTGGCCGTCTTGCACTCCAATCCGGCCAAATCACGGCGGAAACCAAAGCCGGTCTTGTTACTAGCAATTTCATGGAAATAGAGAATGAGAGAGCTCAATTCTTGGCGCAGCAGCTGAGCTTGGGATGCTTTCTGGTCAGGGGTCAAGTTGAGCAGCGAAGGAGACGAAGACTTTCGTTTCCGCTTGAGGGATTTGGCAGATCGACGCTGAGAACTAGGGTTTGAAGGCGCAGGAAGACCAATCGGTACGTTGAGTGGATCCGCCATAGTTTTTCAGCGGGAATGAAAACCCTAACGAAAGACAAAGACGATGAAAATGAGGCGACGGAAATGGGAAAGGCCAAAAGGACACCTGGTGACGGACAGAAGTAGCGGCATCGACTTCTTCTTCCCTTCGTAGACGCTCGGGCAGATGGCCTCTATGCTAAGGACGAGCTGGTGATAAGAGAGATGGCGCGTGGCCTTGTGAGGATTGTGCTGGAATGCGAGAAGAAGTCTTCATCGACGGGCGACGGGTGCCGGAGTTTTGCCGTCAGCGCCGGTGGGGGAAGTTGAAAAGGAAGACGTTGGGGCGGTTGTGGAGAGTTGCGGAGGAGATGAGATTTAATTTGCTTTTATTTATTTTATTATTTTAATGATGTGGAAATATTAAAAAAATTAAATTAATTTTTTTATTAATTTTTAAATCGCCACGTCAGACATTTAACAGTCAACTGTTAGGGTTAACTGCAAAGTTAACGGAAAGTGACTAAATATGGACCGTTTTATTAATTCGAGTGACCAAATTTGATATTTATTTGTTTCAGTGACTAAACATGACACATTTTAATAAATCCAGTGACCAAATGTGTCTTTAACCTAGAGATATTACTATCACTCATTTTGAATGATAGTTTCCATCACATCAAGCATGTATTGTTTGTGCTAAAAATTAAAAAAAAAAACAATGCATTGTAACTATCTCAACCAAACAATCATAAAAACCAAACCAACCCTAATACCTTTAAACTACTCCACCATGCGTCCGAAAGCATTGCACAAACCCGTTAACAGTGAAAGGGTTTTTAAGTTCAGTGGCTACGGAATTCATGCATCTCAAACTTCGACCTCTTGGGCGGGAAGGACAACCAAGAAAACATCGAACAGAGAGCAGAACATGGAAGCAAAAAAGATAACTAGAATCAGAGACGAATATATAATCTAAACCCGGAATTATCTCATGCAGCTAGCTCCTTCTAACAATATCAGCTACTGTTTCCTACCAACAAAAAACTGGGAGGTCAGACAACCTGCAAAGCCAGCTAACATGGCGATTTGTGGGTTCCTAATAAGGGACTGCGCCATCCATAGCCCATACGCATAACTTACGACTCTCACTGGAAAATCCGTTTTTTGACTAGCCGCTGATTAACCGTACACATTGGAGTCAATTTGCAGAATGTTTGGAAAGATCTGCTTCAATGTAGAACAGTAGTCAGGAGAGTTTGCCTGCAATTACAAGCAACAACAAAAAGATTGAGAAGCTAGGACATTTTAAGAGAGGGGAGAAAGCGAATACGAAACAAAGGTATTCAATTGCACAGCAGGAGTCTCGAAGAATGCACACAAAAAAAGTTGCTAGAGCCTTGAAAAGAAAGAAGGAATCCTAATGGAATGGCAACTTCTCTTTGATACTTGACCCATATTAATGATCATAACGTGTAGCTTGAGAAAAGGAGATTCTTGATTCGTGAAATAAGAGTCGAGAGACAGCAAGAAAGGACTGGGAAACGAGGGATCAACAACAATACTTTCAGACAACAAACAGGACTACAGGAGATGCATCCTATTTGGACTAATCAAACGACCACAGCAGTCTGACAATCAGGACAAAAGCTTGAAACAAACTTCTATTAGGTCAAAGAAGCAGACAACAGCTTGGAGCTTGGCTTTGCAGATATGAATGCAAAACCACCTGACAATAAGCAATGCGAAAGGCAAAAACCAAACTTTGGATTGATCACTGTAATGGAGAATCTACAAGCATATGGTATTAGGTGATAGTATGAGTGTTTCAAGTGCTTAAAAGTGGTTGCAAATCTTACACATGGATTGTTTGCCAGGTAGATTGTGGTCATTTTTTCTCTGGAGCCAGCAACAGCATCAGAAATGCTTCCAAGAGACTCTATTCTGTTGTCATTGAGCCATAGATCTTCTAGCCTGCAGTTCAAATTCAAAGTAAGCAATTCCTGCCAGCTCTGAATATCAAGAAGAACATGATTCAGTTAAGAAGAATGTATTTCGCACATACTTTGGCAGACCCTGAATGTCATCGACAGAAGTGAGCTTGTTAGATGATACATCAAGCACACGGAGGTTAACCAAGGTTGATAGGCCTTCCATTTTCTCAATACCATTATGGCTCAAGTACAGTTCCTCTAAAGCAACACAGTCCTGTAAAGTGTAAATTGGGGCAACAACGGATTAAAATGAGAAACCCACATTTCCGGTTGCAATTAGTGACATCCACACAAACTCATTTATAAAAAAACTAGAGAAATTTTCTTCCTTCCTTCCTTCCTTTTCAGCTAAGTTACCTCAAAACCCGTCATGGTAGTCAACCGATTGCTCTGCAAACTGATCTTCTTGATGCATTTCAACCCACAAAGGTTAACCTGTTTGATACGATTCCTTCCAAGCCATAACTCCTCCAAGTTTTTCAGGTTTTCCAGGTTCTCCATTACCTGAAGCAGTGGGGTTTAGAGGACACAAACCTTTGACAACACATTCATTAATTTCCCTGCTGTAACTAAACAGTTCACAGAGCAATACATCTCTCAGACAAGACAAGGAGCAACGAAATGAAGGCTGATGGAAGCATAGGAACCCTCAAACCAAATAGCAAAAGAGACTGACCCTGAGTCGGTTAGAACCAAGTTCAAGAATTCGCAATTGAAAGAGATGATCAATCTCCTCCATCTTAGGAACTTCATTTTTGGAGACGTAGAGCTCTCTCAGCGTAGAAGAGACCTTCGACAACCCCTGAGCGGAATGGATCTCGTTGAACGATACGTCGAAAACCAAGAGCTTCTTGAACATGGCAACGTCCGGGATTTTGCCGAGCTTATTATCTCTAAGCACTAGTTCCTAACATTTAATTAATCAATCAATGACGAGCGACTCAATCAATTAATCAGTCAAATGAAGAATAATCAATGACAGGCGAAGCTTAATTAAGGATTTAAGAAGATGAAGGGACAAGGGAGGGTTTGCCTCGATGCCGGAGAGGAGGTCCCAATGGGAGAGGGGCTCGACGGCGGCGTCATCGATGAGGTTCTGGCGGAGAGAGAGCTTGGTGAGGTTAGCGAGGTGGGCAATCCTTGGGTCCAAGCTGGACAAGCGATTGGCCGTGAGGTCTAATTCGGTGAGCGTCGGCGGCAACTCTACGGAGGTGAGATCGTGTAGCTGAAAGCTGGTGAGGTCGAGCATGGTAGCCGACGACTGATCATCAATCTGGCCGGCAGCTCCATCTCCGGGAAGAGGAGTGTTCAGAGTTTGGTCGTTCATGGAAGAAGGGCTCGCGTCAGCCGGCGCAGAGGCGGGGACGAGAAATGTCTGTAAGTTTATGTGAGAAGGTTTATACTTATTTTTTTAGTTTGGAATCTATGGTTTTGTTGAGATTGTTATTATATATGTATTGTTTTAGGTTGTATTTTTATTTATTTATAAAAGACCATACGGATTGTTTCTGTGATATGAAATTGTATTGTTTTAGCTGATGTGACATACATAAATAAACATATCAAACGTTGTATTCTACAATTTATTAAATTCGACAATACATGTATAATATTATACATTCATTCACAACAATATATTTATTTAACAATCACAATTACAAAGACCTCTTAACTAAATATGCTCTCATTACTCATTAGAGGAGTTCTTCCTTAAAGTACACCAGTCCTAAAAGAAATAATTCCAAAAATCTAATATCTTATAATAGAAAAAACTATACATATTTCATCTTGAAAATCAAGCTAATTTATTTCATAACTATTTGAGGAGGAATTAACAAAGAACCAATACTAATTTATTTGGATCGTGACCAAATGTTAAAGTTATGAGTTTGGATCCCGTTGCTTGGAAATTTGAATCCTTCTGCTCCAGAACATATTTACTGATAAAATTAGTAATTTATATATAAATATCACCCAGATAAACAACTTTATATTGCATAATATAATAAATACGATTCGTATGTTTTTAATAATTTTGTATTTAAAACTAAACTAATTTTTTCAGTGTATTGTTCTCAACACATTAACATTCATATTGACAATGATGTGCAAAAGAAATATAATCCGATTGGGGTAAGCCGGTCTTTATTGGGATCTATTTCCTTCTTTGATATGTTTGTTATAAATTCTTCAGATTGGCAGAAATTCATAAAATAATGAACTTTATATGGCAGTATAGCTTATTTTGAAATATTTATAGCGTCTTTTTTCTATAAGCATATTTATTTATCATTTCAAATTTAAAAATTCTTTAATTCGTTTGCTAAAAAAATTCTTCAAAGAGTTCTTGGAGATAAAATATTTCATATTATATATGATTGGTGCTATAATCGTGATTTCATAAGTACCTATATGATCATTAAATGAGAACATTAAAAACTTGATTTTCAATTATCAATATATATGGAATAGTTGTCTGGGTTGCTATCCTTAACTAAAAAGTGTCATTTGTGTCGAAATCTCGAATGGTATTTAATCTAATTAAATGGTCAACATTGTTGTAACTAAAACTTTCACCATAAGTTGAACTATAGATGTTTTATATGTATCATTTAAAATTTGGTTTTTTCTTTGACCAGTATTTTCAAAAGGACCAAGACTATCCATTGATTTACTTAGCCTACACTTGTACTCTAACCCACAATTAAACATCGAATTGATCCACCTTTTTCCATAGAGTTTTCGCCATGAGACTTCCATTTCACACAACATGATAAAAGAAAGAGGAACTCATCTTCTTTCTTAATTTGTGGGTGTCCAACTCGTCCGAATTTTCCTGAAGAGGGAATAGAGTAAGGGCGACCTTTTGCTAAACCAAATAAGTAGGTGTAGGCAAACAGAAATATGGTTGTGTAATCCTCTACCAAATCTCTTGAAATGAATGCTAGTTTGCTAAAACCTTTGCTTCTAAGGTAAATGACATAAGACAAAGGCTTTCCCTATCATGATCGGCTTCTTCTTGCATTACAATTTTAAAATGCATTACATTCCACTAAAGCGATCAAACCTTGTATCCCTTATGACTCGCTAAAACATAACACCAAACTACCAAACTACGATCAGTTCGAGTGAAGATTATCACAAGCAAAAACAAACAGAAAGCAAGTAACAGTTGTATTCAGATTAAGAAGGCTCACTCAGGTATGAGTCCTCTCAATTTGAATACCCATCAGGCGACTAGCCTCCACCGGCGTAAGCTAACTGAGGCAATAAGATTCAAACTTCCTCTACTGGGTTCTACACCAGTACAAAGCAATGAATCGATTTTGTCAACTAAAGTCACCTCACGGTATTTTTTTCCTTAGTTCAATTCTTTTAGCATTCATTGGAGAGATGAAGTTATGTCACAATTCAATGGAGATGCCTTCATCATCGATGGGTATATCATCCCTCTCTCGGAATGCTATCTAAAGTTATTTTTGTTTAGAATGTGAAATTTATGATGTTTCATGTTTCAATTTTGATGATTAAATGATATGCTTATGATGTTTTCATTCTATTATGTTTTATCTTGGTTTTGTGCTTAACATCAATACATGTTGCTAGGAAAATGCTCTTATGTGGTATGCCATTAACTTATGCATGTATGAATTGAATACACAACTTTTCATGTACGTATATGCTTGATGCTTGATATAGGTTTTCGAGAACGCGGCCTGAATAAGGTAAACAAAGTGATGTAGGGATGGCTATTTGGTCCGGGCTATTTGGTTTTACCCGAATCCAGATTGTATAACCTGGACCGGGACCGGACCAGGACCAGATAGCAAACAATCCAATCCAATCTTTGGTCTTAGATTTGAGGTAAAAAACCGTTTGGGACCGGATCAAAAACCGGATAAAGACCGGATAAGAGAGCCCAACACCCAAAATTTAACCAACTCCTCACTCTTTGAGTCCTCAGACCACTCAAATCCCCACAAGTTCAATCTAAAATCAAGACGAATTGGGACCAGACAGGATCAAAACCGGAGTGTATCCAATCTAATCTTTGGTCCTTATATTCCCGAAAAAACCGGACTGGGACCGGATCAATTCGGTCCAATTTAACCGGACCGTACCATATAGCCACCCCTAAAGTGAAGGACCAATATTATGGCATTCGTGCGGGCTTAGTTATCAAAGTGTTGTATATGATCTCTTTTTCGTGATTGATTTGTTAGTTGCATGAAGCGACATCACACATTAGCTAGTCTTAATTCCTTTTGAATGTGGCGAAGATTCGATTAGGATACATTAGTGGAGGAGATGTGCCATCATAATATAAGGAACTCATGAATGCATTATCATTAAAGAGTTATTATGCATGTTCATCTAGATGAAGTTACCTAGCTAATAATTTCTCATACTTGGTTCATTATTACTCAATTTACTTGCTTTACTGTTTAATTACTTGCTTTAGTTAAAGTAGAAAAATTAGCCATCATTAGGGAACCTCAACCCATCGCGTTTAATTTCGGTCACATCTTTATTAGAACCAAAGAGATTAGTTTCAAAGTAGTTGTTATCAAAAGAGTAATTTAATATGACCCTAGACAAAATCAATGATTATTACTTCGTGATATACTACAGTCACATCAAGTTACTAGTGTCATTGCTAGAGATTTTTTATGGTATTTGAAAGAAGGCAACCTCCTTGTGTTTGATGCTTTTAAAAGTATTACACGGAAGTTTGTCTTGTTTTACATAACTTGAACCTACAAGAACAGAGAGTTGAAAATCACACGAAGGAATACTATAAGAAAGTACTTCAAAAGAAAGAGATTTGAATACTCTCAACCGAGAGCATCAAATCTCATGTCCATCATCATCCATCCTACAACAAATATTGTGTTAAGACCATCCTTAATTAGAACGGTACAAGAAATTATAAATGAAACTTTTCTCTGGAGAAAATGATGAAGATCTTGTGTTACACACTAAGAACTTTCTCAATATTTGCCTTTCAAAACCAGGGGGTGAAGAAGAAGCTCTACATTTGAGACTCTTATCTTTTTCATTGACCGGAAAAGTCAGATTTTGGCTTGATGAGCACCCATCAAACACATCTAACATGTGGGAAAATCTTTCACAAGCATTTCTCGAAGAATGCTTTCCCCCAAGGAGGACGGACGAGCTCAGATCCCAAATCATTGGCTTCTGCCGAAAAGAAGAAGAACCATTCCATAGAGTATGGGACTATTTCAACTCCTTGTTACGCACTTGCCCTCATTATGGATATAGCAACAAACAACTAGCAAAGGCATTATACAAAGGTTTGGACGAACAACCGCCATACATATTAATACATTGACAGGGGGAGACATAACTCAACCAAATGCAACTAAATCAAGGGAGACATAGGAGACACTGGCACGAAGCATCAAGAATATTGCAAGGATAAAATCACTCCCAAAACAAGTCAATGATGTACAAATTATCCAAGATTCTATCGAAGAAATGAAAAAACAAATGGAAGCAATGGCAAAGGAAAAGTCCACCTTACAAGTGGAGCTTTCTAGGTTTCCATGGAAAAAGGCAAGTAGAAGAAGTGTTAATAAATTCAATACTCTTTCAAAAACAAGCATTCTAGTATGGAAAAGCTATTAGAAGAAAAGCGTGGGGTAAGCCCTTCTATCATGCACCGAGAGATTAATTTAGCAAAAAAAAAAAAAAGATATGTGAGGATTAAATATTTGACCTCTCCGATCAATTGGAAATCGGCCTCTAAAAAATCATTCTAGACTCTCCTGACCATCACAAGGTCACAAACTTAGTGGAGGTAGCAAAGCTTATCATCAAAGCTAGTAAGGATGGTTCAAATTGATGTTGATACTAGAAGATGTAAAGGGCGTCAATAATAAGCAAGAAGTTTATGAAGAACGTCTCATCGAGATGTATGGAAGACTGGGATAAATCATATTAGGGAGTACAAGGCCATCTAAAAGTCATCACAATAAGTGGGAAAGAGACCATGACACATCCTTTTCCTGAAGTAGAAGAACCCCTTAAGACTCGGGAGTTGCTAAAGGTCGCCCTTAAAACTGCTAAATGTCGCCCTAAAAACATCAAAGTTACAAATTTAACCTTTTAGCTTCTTTACTCTTCCTTTAGCAAACAAACACAACTTAGTAAAGAAAATAAAATATGATTCAAAAAAGAGAACCCATCATCGTCATTCTAGAGTTGGAATCGTCGATATGATGTCTGGAGCATGACTAGCGACTCTGAATCGGTAAAGTTCACTAAAAAAATTGGGGAAAAAAACAAAAAAAGGGAACCGTAGCT